AAAAAGAATTCAGCAATCCCCTGGAGGGAATCAGAGTGTGGGTTTAGATGTGAAAAGTTAGAAGGGTGGCTTCTGCAAAAGTCTATCCAGCCTTCTACATCATTTTTTTACAGTTCTTCAAGGAGATTTAAATCTGTGTAGAAAACCTTCATAAATGAATAGACTTGGAGTTGAGAAATCTCAGGGAGACCAAGTTTATAGTCAATCGCTGAGATTAAGACCTGACACTACAAAATAAGATTTCAAGAGAAGACAGCAATGCTGACAGACAGGTTTTAAAAATGCAAAGCCTGATAAGCCCTTTTAATTTCTTTTTTTTTTTTTTATTTTTGGTGGAACAGACTGCAAACCATTGAGAAAACCCTTTTATTCCTATGAGTATCACAGGAACAGGCTTCATTCATTTTTTTCTGTAGTCATACCTTCTAAAAGACATATTAGTTTCATTGCTTGTTTAAGACTAAGATACACTGGGAACCACAAATGATGGAACAACCACACTTCAGGATCTCTGGGGTCACCCTACCACAGTGACTGGTTGGGAAATGGCCACAAAAGATAGTATCAGAAAGAGATAGGACTATTCACAGGCTTCTGGAGACGTTTAAGCAGTGGTAAGCTCATGCTGTGGAGGACACAGTGGTTCAGTCCACCACTGTGGTCAGAAGCCAGGCTAGTCATGCATAATTTTTTGAAGAGGCTCAGTCTGAAAACACTGGGCTTCAATCCAGTGGATTGCTTCATTGCCCTTGCTGCTAACTTGCTGTGAAGTACTCAGTAGTCTATTTCCCCATCCATCAACGTGTTCAGTGACCTACTGTTGCTTAGTTATTTGCCACATTCTGGGGTGTATGGACAAAGGTCCCTCTGAGCAAGTGAGGTACCTCACACGATGATAGGCCCCAGAGCTAGTCAGACTATCAGTGGTTTAGGGTGCACAGAAGGGTACAAATACTAAAAGCCTCCAGAGTGAATACAGCTCTAAGCCAGACAACATACCACTGACTGACCTTGCCAAGCAAGAAAGATAGGGCAGAACTCAGCACTCACAGAGCAAAAAGTGCATGTGGAAACAAAGCAGGCCCAAGGTTGTGATTCTCTGTCCCTCCCCAATATCTGGTGGATACCAATACTACAGTTCCTAGAAAGATACTACCCAACCAAATCATTCAACATGAAAAAAAAAACTTGGACTCATTTCTCTTTTTCATTATTTATTTTTGTGGGGCTTGCTTGTTTTTATTTCCTTTTCTGTCTTGGGTTTATTTTTTTTCTTTTTCTTGACTTTTTAGTTACTTTTACCTAATTCTATTTACTTCTTTACCCTTTAACTGGATTTTTAATTCATTTTCTCTCCTTCTCACCTTCTTTCATTTTCAAATACTGCTGCTCTGAGTTTTCCCTTTCCTCACCATTCTGTTTTTACTATTATTATTACTATTAGACTTTATTAATTTTTAGCTACTTAGCTGAGTTCTTTTCTGCTGTCAATAGTGACATAGTTATTGCTTTTAGTAAATCTTAACTATTTGTCAACCTCTGGTTTGTGTTTGTCTCTATATTGATTATCACTTAAAAAGGAAGACCAGACAGTCTACTGGGAATTAGGAAACAATCAACCATTAGAAAATCAACAAAATGTTTTCACCAATCTATAATAACTCTGAAAGTAAACAGTTTTAATTCTTTAATTAAAAGACACAGATTGTCAGAGTGGATTAAAAAACAAGACCCAACTGTGCTGCTTGCAAGAAACACACCTCACTAGCAAAGACATACACAGACTGAAAGTGAAAGGATAGAAACAATATTCCACATATGGAATTTGAAAACCAGCAGGAGTAGCTACACTCATATCTAACAAAGCACACTTCAAGACAAAATTAGTCAGACCAGAAAAAGATGACTGCTATATAAAGGGCAAAAGGAACAATTCACCAAGAAGCTATAACAGTTGAAAGTATATACACACTGAACATTAGTGTGCCAAACTTCATAAAACAACACAACATAAAAAGACAAATAGACCCCAATCCAATAATAGCAGGTAACTTCAGTACTTCACTCACCAATAGGTAGGTCATCCAGACCAAAAAAAAATCAACATAAAAACATCAGAGTTAAACTACACTACAGATCAAATGGATTTAACAGATGTCTACAGAACATTCCACCCAACAACTACAGATTCACATTCTTCTCAACAGTTCAGAGAACATTCTCTCATATAGATCATATTTTAGACCCTAAAGCAAACCTTAACAAATACCAAACATTGAAATAATTTCTTACATCTTATGAAATACCATAATGGAATGAAACTACAAATCAACAGTAAAGGAAATTACAGAAATTATACCAACACATAAAGATAGAACACTTCACTTTTGAATGATCAGTGGGTCCTGATTAGGGAGGAAATTTTAAAATTCCTAGAATCAAATGAAAATGGAAATACAACATATCAGAGTCTCTGGAATACAGTGTCATAACCTAGGGATTATTACTAATCCTTAATCCAGCTTTGCATCTGAGGCCCAGTAATTTTAAATAGTCATAAATAAAGAAGAGCAGGACAAAAATTGAGAGAAGTCAGAGAAGGGGAAAAACAGATGGAGAAAAGGCATGAGGGGAAGAGAATGAACAATTATTCATCCATGTAACTGAGCATGTTTTACATTAGACCTCTGAACTTACTAGTCCTACATCCTATAACACAGGGCACTGAAACCTTGTGCCCAATGACACATCTCCACATTTGTCCCTCATCACCACTCTCTATGCTGTCTGTATTTGATTTTTTTTTTTTTTTAGAGTCTGTCATGTGGAGTTTGCCTTTCTGTGCCTTGCTTATTTTATTTAGCATAATATCCCTCAGGTTCATCCATGTTATGATAAATGGTAGGATTTTCTTCTTTTTTAATGCTGAATAACATTGCATTGTGTGTATCACAATTTCTCCACCACTCACTTTTCAGTGGATGCTTAGGGTCTCCATATCTGGGCTGTTGTGAACACTGCTGCCACAAGCAGAAGTGCTGACTGTGATGACTATTTGTGCTAGTTTTGCTAACAATAAGATGCTGGGTGAGGGCAGAAGCAATGCACAATGTCCAGTGCTGTTGACCTCCAGGAACCACTGAAGGGTGGCACTGGCCTGACATCCCTGAATCAACCCATAGGACATCACACACCCAGTGAGTTGTGTTCATACCACACTGCATGATGGAATCTTTATCTTCTGCTGTGTTCTTCATATGTAAAGGTGACTCCTAAAAGGGCTGATCCCTAAGTATTTGTTCAGCTAAGAGCTTCTCTCACTCTGTTTAGGGACCACATTTTGAGTTAGCAGATTAGAAAGTCTGAAAAGCACAGACCCTAGATCCATCCATTGAGACTTGTGCAGTGTTCCCCATCTGTCTTCCAAACCATGTTGAAACCCAGATGTTTTGTTGTTTTTGTTGGTGTGTCTTTGTTTTGCTTTTTGTTCATTTTTTTGTCAAACAGTACTTTCACTGGAGTGATGCTCCAGCAGGAAAATTCTATGCTGGAGTTGCCTTTCAACATTTCGTCAAGCGTTTCTGGAACACCTTTATTCCCGGGACACAAGCTGCCACAAGGAAGACAGACATGAGCAGGAAGAAGCCACCCCACCTTCAGGAAGCTGCTGATTTAATAAGGAAGCAGACAGGCTCCAAGGGCACAAGGGAATTAGACAAGTGGTGCAAAGCGTAGCTGGAGCTCTACGGAAAGTGTAGTTAGCTCAGCAATTGTTTCATGGCACAGTGGGTGAGAGTGTGAACCCAGAAGCTGGAGTACCTGGATTTGAATCCCGGCTACCACACTAGCTGTGTGGTCTTGGGCACATCACTTAACTTAGCTGTGCTTCAGGTTCTTCATCTATAAAATGAGCATCCCAATAGTACCTTTCTCATTAATTCATAAATGGTAACAATTAAGCCAGTGTATGTAAGGTGCTTTTGGACAGTGCCAAGTATCAATAAGTGAGGAATATGTGTGTTAAGTGAATGTCCTTTCTGGTGCAGGAGAGCAAGGCTCCTGGTCACTAGGCTGTTTCCCCCACTTCTACCATCTTGTTCCCTCATTTCATATAATTTCTGTATAATCTATGCGATATAAGCTACAGCTTTAAAGTAATGGAGAAACTGTTCTTTCCCCCAGCTTGGGCAGTTAAAACGTGTACAATCACTTAATCCCCATATTTCTGTACAGCCAATATTCATTTATTACTTCCACATGTAGGTTTTGATGTCTACTATGGGAAAACCACTGAGAAAATCCAGTGTTCGTGACACTGAAAAACTAGAACCCATGGGACTCAACAGGCTGGCTTTCCCCAGGGCAGTTTCCACCCTGTCAACATGAGAGGTCTAATAAGCAGCTCTTCCTTGCAAATCAGGAAAGGGTTCCCTGCCCCTGAGGTGCTACAGCCCTGCCCAGGCTGCACTGTAGCCCCTAACTCACACTCTTGACCAGGTCATCACTACCTACGGCAACTTGGGCTGAGTCCACTGACTCAGACAACATTAACAAATATCTCCTCACGAGGCATGTGAATGCAGAGCATTGAGCAAGAGTTAACTCAGCTTCCTTAAGTGCCTAAATCACAACCCGAAACAAATTATGATCTGAGAAAATACATTATTGCCACCTCAAATAACCTCAAAAATTAAATGCTCTCCTCAAATGTTACTTTATGTGCTAAAAATGTATCACTACATGAACAAATATTGCCTAAAACTAACATAAGTAAATACTGTCTAAAACTAAATATTTCCGAGAACAGTTGTACACTGTTGTACACTGCTGTACTGTAGAAGGCTATAGAAGTCTTTATGCTTGTTGATTATTTAGCATATCAAATGTATTCAGTACATAATATACTATACATTTCATTATTAAAAGAATTTTACTTAAAAATTTTAAATGATTATTTAAAGTAAAATGATTATTTAAAGCAAAGTATTTTTGTAGCTTACCACTTTAGAGGTCTCATTGAAGCAAAGTTTTTTCACTCTATGAGAAAAACTTTATGAGGATTAACTTGGTTCCAAGAAATGTTCTAAGTGCTTTTCATCCACTCAATAAAACTATGAGATAGATGCTATTATTAGTCCTGTTTTCTATATGGGGAATTTGACATTATGCAATTTGCCAAAGTAAGAAAGCTGTCAGAGTTAAAATTTAAATTCAGTTACATAATTTTTAACAGAGTCAGAATTCTTCACTATTGAGAGTTTTGATAATATATATAAGGAGATGGTACTATATCTCTTGTCAGAGGGGTTTCCCTGGCCTCCTAAGAAAATTAGGCCTTAAAAAGGCTACTGTACATAAGTCTTTACACTAACTCCTCTTCCCATCCTTAGCATCTAGCATCATGTGTGCATCAATTAATTAATTAATTGATTGAGTTAAAGGCATACAGATTGCAAACAGAGAAGTAAAACATACATAACTATGTATGTAGAAAATTCTAGAGTCTACAAGAAAGCAGTAAGGTCCCAACATACAAGGTCAATATCCAAAAATCAACTGCATTTCTAATGTTGATGTGTGTATATATGAGTTAGGAGATACCTGTGGTCTCCCAGCTCTCTTCCCTGAAGGGCTTTGAAACAATGACACACCAGCAACAATGAGCACAGCAAGCACCCAGATCATGGCTTCAAAGCACCACACTCAATAAAAAAAACCAGAACTCCATAAAGAAGTAATTGATTTCAGGGCTGAGGCAGAGAAATTTTAAAATGACCCTAAAATATCGAGTGGTACCAGAACAAAGAAACAAACAACAAAGTTGGGATATGGTGGTATCATCAAAAATGAAGTAAGAAGGTCCAAAGATTTGTTCCTTGACTGAAGTAACAACTAAACTGGCCAAAAATAAAACACTGTCAGATTCAACTTTTTCAGAACTTTAGCAGCTGTTAAAAGCTTACAGCAATCTATAATCAGGCATAGGTCAACTGAAATTCTCTAACATAAAGAACAGAAAGGAAAACACAATGAAAAAATAAATAAAGTCTAAAGGATCTGGGGAATATTCACTAAGTACATCAACATACATATTATAGGAGCCTCAGAAGGAGAGAACAAAAAGAGAAGAAATTACATCTGAAAAAAATCATGGCTAAAAACTTTCCAAATTGGTGAAAGACATTAATCTCTCCAAGAAACTCAACAAAGGCCAAGCAGGATAAACTCAGAGACTCACAGCATGATACATTATAATAAAACTGTTAAAAGCTGGAAAGAATATTGAAAACAGCAAGAGAGAAGCAATTCATCACACGCTGAGAATCCTCAATTGGATTACCAACCCTTTTCTTATCAGAAATCATGGAGATCAGAAGGCGACAAAATGACATAATGGAAGTGCTGGAGGGAAAGAAGCTGTCCATCAGGAATTACCCTTCAAAAAGTAAAAACCTAATACATTCCCAAATAAACAAGGAAGTTTAGGGAATTCCCAAACAAATTTAGGGAATTCATTGCTAGTAGACTTGCCCTATAAGAAATGATAAAAGGAGTCTTTCAGGCTGAAATGAAAAGAGGCTAGAAAGTAATTCAAAGCCATACTAAGATATAAATGGCACTCGTACAGGTAAGTCCATAAATAAATACAAAAGCTAGCATTATCGTATTTTTAGTTTGTAACTCCTCTTTCTTTCATATGTGACTTACAAGATAAGGGCATAAAACAGTAATTGTAAATTTAAACTAATGAACAGGAGCATATGATGCTGTAATCTGCAACAACAACATAAAAAGTAGTAACAGCTGTGTAAGAGCAGAATTTGGGGTGCTACTGAAGTTAGTCTGGTAATAATTTGAACTGAAATGTTATAAATTTACGGTGCCAATTTTAATCCTCAAAAATAACAACTAAGAAAATAACTTTAACATGTACAGATTAGGAAATGGGGAAGGAGTCAAAATGGTACCTAGAAAAGTGAATTAAAGACAAAAGCAGGCAATGAGAGAATAACAGTAATAAAAAAAAAACACATAAAAAACAAGTGCAAAATGACAGAAATCCTTCTTTATCAATAAACACTTTTTTAAAATCACAAATTAAAAGACAGATTGGCAGAATAGATTTTTTAAAAACATAATCCAAATATATACTATGTATAAAAGCCATTGTATAGCCTAATACACAAATAGGTTGAATGTGAAAGAATGAAAAAAAGTATTCCATGCATATAAGCAAAAGAGAGCTAGCACGACAGTCCTGATGTCAGACAAAATGTACTTCAAGTCTAAAACTGATACAAGAGACAATGATGGGCATCACATGTTGTTAACAGGGTCACCCATTAGGAACATAAGACCATCATAAACATATCTGCACCAAACAATAGAACCCTAAATATGTTTGAAGCAAAGATTGGCAGACTTGAAGGTAGAAACACATGATTCAATACCTGTTTCATAAGAGACAATATCTTAAAACTTAAACTTACTATATGGTGGATCTAGCAAAATCATTCCTAGGAATCTACCCAAGATAAGGAAAGCATATGTCCACACAAAGACTTGTTTGTGAAGTGTCACAGCAGCCTTATTATAACAGACAAAATGAGAAGCAAGGCAAATGTCCATCAGTTAGTGACTGGATGAAGAAAAATGCTGTATATCTATGAAACATAATACTACTTAGCAATGAAAACAAACTACCGAATCATGCAACAATATAAATGAGCCTCTAAAGCATTGTGAGTGAAAGAAGCCAGGCACAAAAGGCTACATATTATATGATTCTATTTATATGAAATTTCCCAGAAAGACAAATGTATAGACACCCACATGTTTCAGTGGTTGCCTAGGATGGTAACAAGTACAGGAAGTGAGAGCATGGGCTCAAAAGAACTTTGGAGGCTGGTGAAAACATTCTAAAACTGGATCCTAGTGACAGCTGTGCATACCTATAAATTTGCTAAAAAGTTTTATTTGCGTAGATATGTCTTATAGGATGCAAGTAATACATCAAATAAAACTGCAGATAAGATGACTCATCCCTCAAAAATAGCTTTGGTTTGATACAAAAAATATAATTTTCATATATACACTATAGATATGTAACACACATATATTTTTTGGAATGATTTGGGCACCATCCTCTTACAAATATTTGGCTAGAATTCATGGTACCTTTTTGCTTTCTCCTTTTCCTACGACTGTATTTTTTTTCTTTCAGATTAAATGATCCAGACTCTCAGTGAGAACACTAATTCTGAGCATAAAGTAAAATTGTTAAAATCAAGGGTTGAACACTTGCAGTTCCAACTAACTGTTCATCAGCAATTCTAAAGATCCAGAAGTTCTAACTGGAGTGTGGTGTGTGTCTGAAATCCCAGCACTAGGGAAGCTGAAGGAGGAGGATTTCTATGATCTCAAGGACACCCAGGGCTACAAAGTAAATTTAAGGATAGCCTTCATAGTGAGACTGTATCTCAGAAACCAAAAAAACAAAAACAAACAAAAAAACTCTATACTCTCCAGTAATCTGTAGTTTATTGGGAAAAAAGTTCAATTGCCTCAAGTCCTATGTATAAAACCCTGTTACTTAGCTGTGAGTGAACTTTGCTCTCCAGGGAAAAACATTTATGTTTATCTTCTCTGTGTGATTTGTACATAAGCATTCAATACTGAAATTCAGATAATTTCCACAGCCAAGGAACAAATACTAGGAAAATTATTCACCAAAAAACCATCCATCCTTAAATTTCCGACTCTAGTCATTTGTTTAAAGTATCAAAATAATTCTTTT